CCCAGCACGGACCCAGCACGGACCCAGCACGGACCCAGCACGGACCCTGCACAGCTGTGCCTGGCCTCTCTGATGCCAAGCTCAGCTTGGAGGCTGCAATCTAGTCCCTCCGCAGCTGCTCTGGGGCCAGGCGCCCGCTGCATTAATCCGTGCACTTCCAAGATCCCAGGGTCCGAGACCAGGGAAGGCAAGGAAGGGAGTGTATCGCGATGTCTGGAGATAGCAAGTCCAATGGTGCCACAGAGGGGACACCCTTGGACAGCTCGGGGAGCGCCAGCAAGTTTGGGCCACTTTTACGGGTGGTGTGGCCACTGTAAGACACTCACTTACAGTACCTGCAGGAACACTCCTTCCAAAGGAACAAGTCATACACAGTGGACACTGAGGAGTGGCAGCTACTCCCTCTGACTCGGCCCTTTTCAGTGTTGGCATCACCAGGATTACAGCCTTTTCAGAGGGATCTCTGTCTGGTTTTCACATTGCTGGTGATCACTTTGTATTAAAGGTAATCTTCCATTTGGGGAGAAGACTCAGAATATGTATGAAGGCTCGGGCAGAACGTTGAGAACACGCCCTGTGCATCTGTATGGCTGGAGCGCAGGGGCTCGTGGCCTGACTCCGGACGCGTCCAGACAAGTCTAACTGCTGTGGGCAGCGCTCAGCTTCATACCACAGAAGTGGGCCCCTCTAGAGGGAGGAGGAATGTGTAGGCTTGTGGTTTTGTCCTAGCATTCCTGAGTCTAGACATGGGATAAGAACTTGGGAGGATTCTCAGCGTGGGGAAAGAGAGCTAAGGGCATGTGATAGGAGCACAGCGTGTGCAGAAATGTGGGCAGCAGGGATGGGCAGGGATGGGAAAGTCTGTACGGCCATGCACCTGGGCCTTTGTGGATCCTCTGAGCCATCGCTGCCCCTGAAAAGGCCAAGAAGCCACACTTATGCATGATTCCTGAGTCCTCGCACAGTGGAAGCCTTTTACGCCGGAAGAAACCGAAGAAAGTCTTTTCAGCTTGGTGGCCTCACGTCAGGGAGGACAACCCTGGGTCCAGGGGAGCATCCCCACTGGGCACGACCACTGGCGACCAGCATCCTGGTGGCCTATGTCCTGTGCCTGTTCCGGCTTCTTTTCCCAGACGCTTCAGGGCCCCCGTCTTGTACAGGAGAAACGCCCAAATCAGAGGGCAGGGGGACCGCAGGGCGAGGGGACCTGCCATCTGCCCACAGAAAATGCCACGAACCAACATGCAGTTTTACATGTGACTTACACAACCCCGCGTGCCAAACGGCCCCACAGTGAGTCTTTCTTCACCTAGATGCCCTGACCCAGGCTACAGGAGGTCATCTGGTTTCTTTCCAAAACATCCTAGGTGCACACTAGGGCATTCTTCCATGTATTGTAAGGTCTAGGTGTCCCCCCACACCCCATTTTTGTTGATCTGTGGTGTACTCTGCTTAAGGAATTCCCTCCTTAAGCTCCCGGAGGGACCTGGGGCTCCCTGGGATGCCGGGGTCCTACCTACGCTGCAGGCCGCTGGTGTCTACCGTCCAAGCAGGCCCGTAGGTCCAGGCCAACAAGGGGAGGAGCTGGTACTCCCTTTCCTCACGAAGGCAGGGCTGCGACTGAGTCAAAGGGAGACCAGCACCTCAGCCTCCCAGAGAAGAGCGGACTGCCATGCCCCTGCACCCACACTCCCAAACAAGCACAGCTCTCAGATGGGACTAGTCCCTGGCTGGCCTGACCCGGCTCCACATGACCCTTCAAACAACCACAGAGAAGCCAAAGAGGCCCAGGATGAACTAAAACCCAAGTGGGGAGGAAACCTGAAGACATCAGCGACCGTCCACGACACAACACGGGCCTGTACCTCCTACGCTTCCTGTTCATGACATCGCGCCGCACCAGCCATTTGACGCCAGGTCCCCTCCTCAGGCCTCCCCCTGAGCAAACGGAAACCGCTCCCAACCTTCGTTTCTCCGTGTACTGGTCTGCCCCTGTCCCTAAATACAAGCTGCAAGAGGCTGAGGACTAAGCCTGTCTTACCCTGAGGCCACCAGGTAGAGCCGGACAGTGTGTGCCACCAAGGGGGTGCTTTGCCCACCAGGCCTGGTGCCCAAAGGGGCACACCTGCCGGGGTGGGCACACGGCTTCTGGCCATCTCCCCAGTGGAGGCCTTCTTCCATCGGCACAAAGGGTCTGTATGAGCTACAGGTGGCCCTGTGGCCTCCTCAAGCACACAGGACCCACCCCAGTCACCACTCCCAGTGTGTGCCAGATCCCCATCACTGTCACATGGGGGTGAGGTCGCTCCTGGGAGCTGCCCCTCATCTCCTCCCCATGACCAGCCGCCCCTCATCATCTCTCACCCATGAACCTCACACACGTGTTAAGATGCAGGCCTCCCGAACAGCACCTAACAGATGAGGAGTCTCCCCAGTTGTCGTTGTCAGGCATGACCTGCCCACACGTTTCTGGCACGTTTCAAGCACGTTCTGAGCACGTTTCAAGCACAAGATAACCAGGGTGACTCCAACAGGCTGAAATAAAAGATAGTGGACACATCAGCAAGTGTGGCTAACTATGGATAAGTGCTGGAATTTCCAAAGCCTTTTTTTTTTTTAATTTTTTTTTTCAACGTTTATTTATTTTTGGGACAGAGAGAGACAGAGCATGAACGGGGGAGGGGGAGGGAGAGAGAGAGGGAGACACAGAATCGGAAACAGGCTCCAGGCTCCGAGCCATCAGCCCAGAGCCCGACGCGGGGCTCGAACTCACGGACCGCGAGATCGTGACCTGGCTGAAGTCAGACGCTTAACTGACTGCACCACCCAGGCGTCCCCCAAAGCCTTTTAAAAATATTCAGAAAAAAACTGGAAGCATCCCATTGTCAACCTCTCCGCATCCCTAAGAGGTACTGGAATTCATAACTGGATACCACTACTTTAAGATAATGGATAAAAGTAGAAACCTCTGGGGGCACCTGGGTGGCTCAGTGGGTTCGGTGTCTGACTCTTGGTTTTGGCTCAGGTCATGATCTCACGGTTTCGTGAGTTCGAGCCCTGCATCAGGCTCTATGCTGGTGGTGCAGAGCCCGCTTGGGATTTTCTCTCTCTCCCTCTCTCTCTCTGCCCCTCTCCCCCTCACACTGTCTGTGTCTCTCAAAAATCAACTAAAAAAAAAATTTTTTTTTTAAAGGAGGAACCTCTGACTTAAAAACCTACGTATTTTTCTCCAGGTTTATGAAAACTTTCACACACACATAAAAGATGTTTTATAATGTACAGGGGTGCATGGTTGGCTCGGTCGGTTAAGCATCTGACTCTTGATTTCGGCTCAGATCACGGTCTCACAGTTCGTGGGATTGAGCCCCATGTCAGACTCTGTGCTGCTGGCCCAGAGCCTGCTTGGGATTCTCTCTCTCTCTTGCTCTCTGCCCCTGCACCACTCACGCTTTCTCCAACCAATCAACATTAAAAAAAAAGAAAAGACTGATAATGTGCAGACATATAGGGATACTCCATTACTATTACTAAGTACCATTACTAATGGTATTATCATTAGTACCTTCACTACATTAACACTTTGGTTCATCACGTAATTCTATTTTTTCCATCCTTCTATGCATCTATCATCAGTCTTTTTTTGCCAGCTACCGCTTCACCCAGTGTTGCTCAACAGCAAACACATGCCGAGTGACGAAACCACCAACCGGTACGTGCTGTGTGATTCCACTTACACAACGTTATGGAAAGCGAGGCCAGACACTTGGTTCTGGGACCTGCTGAGAGCAGAAGCTGTACCATAGTTGTATTATTAACCTAGCCTCCCATCCCCTTCTTTTGTTGTGTTTCCCTAAGCCCTGCGCATGACTCATCATTAACTTTGCCCTTCCCACTTCATCCCTTGTTTGCACATTGATTATAAGAATCTGATGGAAAACAGATGATAACATTTTTCTTAAAACTATCTGATGTACCAGGCAGATCCCAGATGGCGCCTCACCGTCCAGAAGAATGCATACCTTCAGTGGTTTCAAGACTACCCTCAACTTTCAAGAAGCCCATAAACTTCCCTTCACATACTCGCATTCCTAACCAATCACATATAACCTGTCCCTAGATTCAACAAGGCAAGGCAGCTTTGGGAATGGCCCCCTGCCTCCTGGTTGGGCTGCCCTTCTGATAATAAGGCTTTCTGTGCTTCAACAACTATGTCAATCATTGGCTTACCGCGCATCAGGTGCCTCAACAAAAGGACAAATCTCTGTAGGGACAGAAAGAGGACAGGGCGCCTGGGGGGCTCAGTCGGTGGAGCGGCCGACTTCGGCTCAGGTCGTGATCTCACGGTTCGTGGGTTCGAGCCCCACGTCGGGCTCTGTGCGGACAGCCTGGAGCCTGGAGCCCGCTTCAGATTCTGTGTCTCCCTCTCTCTCTGCCTCTCCACCACTCACGCTCTGTCTCTCTCTCAAAAATAAAAGGAAAGAAAGAGAGTGAGAGAGAGAGAGAGAGAGAGAAAGAAAGAAAGAGGAAGGAAGGGAGGGAGGGAGGGGATCAGAGGTGCTTGGGACCGGGGTACGAGGGCCTGGTTGGAAAGGAGCACATGGCAACATCTCTGGTGATGGAGAGGTTCCACGTGTCGAATACGGTCATGGTTACACGAGTGCTCACGTCTGCCTAATTTTGTCAAAACGTACATCTAAAGTGGCTGCATTTTATGTAAGTTATACCTCAAGGAGTTTTTTTTTTCTTTTTTTTCACGTTCATTTATTTTTGAGACAGAGAGAGACAGAGCATGAACGGGGGAGGATCAGATAGAGGGAGACACAGAATCCAAAACAGGTTCTAGGCTCCGAGCCGTCAGCACAGAGCCCGACGCGGGGCTCGAACTCACGGACGGTGAGATCATGACCTGAGCCAAAGTCGGCCGCTTAACTGACTGAGCCACCCAGGCGTCCCAAGAGTTGATTTTTAAAAGGAAGTAAATGCTGCTTTGGACTCAATACCTCTTCATTATGTGACTCCTCTGTTCCTCTCGCCTGCACACCACCCACCAAGTCACAACTTCGCTGCGTGTCTACAGTCCCGGAGCACTGTCTCGACAACATCAACACCCTCTTCGTTCTCTCTAGGTGCCTGCCTTGCTGCTCTGTCCTGTACTGAACAAGACAGAAACTTCAGAAAACAGTACCTTCATTTATTCATTCATTAAGCTGGTCAGGCAGCAAGTATTTATTGCGTCTGTCAGCTCCGAGCCCTGTATGAAGAGAAGCTGGAAGTACAAATGACAAAGTCCACCCTGTACTTCAGAAGAGGTAAAGAGACACAACGTGAAATCAGCACAGCACTGCTATCAGTAACCGGTTGTGCAAGTGCCAAGTTCTGGAGCACAGCGCGCCCACGCAACAGGGATCCACGTCTTCTCCACGGTCAGGAAAGGCTACCAAGACACGGTATCTGAGGTAGGTCTCCAAAGACACAGTGCAGACGGAGGAACGAGGGAGCGTCCGAAAGGGCATCAGGCACACGATAAATTACGAGATGGGAAGATGGACGAAACAGCGTGGCAGTCAGGGGGAGCACAGCAGTTCAGCAAACCTGGAATGCAGGGAGCAGGGCAGAGGCTCCTGGCAGGCAGAGAAGGGAGAGAGCGGGGGAGGGGGGGGAGCAAAACCAGTCCATCAAGTAGGAGCTTAGGCTGGAGGGAAACAAACGTATTAAGATACAGATATTTACACAGACACCCTATACACACATACACGTGACTTTGTTCACAGGTGCTGTCTCTGATAGTACCAACTTCCATCACCCAATTCTTTTTATAGACATTATGGTACTAAAAAGTACAATTTTACTACTTTAAAACCAGCCATTCACACACTGGAACAGGTTTATCTGCCAACCTGACAACTCCACTTACTCCTGAAGAGACAAAAATGGAGAAGTGACCAAAGCATTTTTGGGTTCATCCAGAATACCAACTCTTCACTGGGGCGGGGGGGGGGGGGGGCCAGGAATCAGAATTGCCAAGGAGAGTTACGCAAGATTTGTGAAGGCAGTGGTTTGATAATACATGGGTATAATTATAAAAAGATTAAGAAATTACTATTTAGGGGCGCCTGGATGGCTCAGTCGGTTAACCATCCGACTTTGGCTCAGGTCACGATCTTGCAGCTTGTGAGTTCGAGCCCCGCATTGGGCTCTGTGCTGACAGCTCAGAGCCTGGAGCCTGCTTCTGCTTCTGTGTCTCCCTCTCTCTCTCTGCCCCTCCCTGATTCATGCTCTGTCTCTCTTTCAAAAATAAATAAATATTCAAAAAATTAAAAAAAAAAAAGAAATTACTATTTAAAACCCTAATGTATGCTCATGATCGAAAAATACCAGAAAATATACAGTGCTCTTCATTTCCATGTAAGACATTATTTTTCTCAGCCAAGTTGCTTTTAAGGGACATTAGTGAAAATCACATTCTATCGTAGCACACACGAAACACGAAATGCCCACTAATGGATGAGGAGGAATGCTGCCTATTTTCCTTTCTTTAAACACAGACAGTTGACAACAGTCAGGCAGTATGTCCGGGCCACAGGGACTCGGGCGCGCCGTCTTACTCCCTATTCTCTGCAGTCCTGGGAAGGCTCGGTCCCCCGGCGGCGGCGGGGACACGGACAAAGCGGCGCAAGAGAGGGGCGCGGAGGCAGACCCGGGCGCTCGCAGCCGGGGTAGGGGGAGGACAGAGCGGCCACCAGCGGACGGCGGGGCTCTCCCTCCCGAGGACACCGAGGGGCACCACGCCGCCCGGGAAGGGGGTCGTGGCTAGCGACTGGAGGTGCCACGTTCACGGGGGCGGGGAGGGGACGAGGGGAAGGTGACAGGAGAGGAAGGGAGCTGGACGGACGGGACGGGAGGCACCTTCTCGCGAGGTCATAGGGCGGGGACGCGGATGGGGGCCGGGGGCTTCCCGTCGCCTCCCGATGGAGTCACAGGCCTGCGCGCACCCTGAGCGCACAGCGCGTCACCCTAAGGCTCGCCGACTGGAACCCGGGCCCAAGTCGAAGCCGGGGCCGGCTCTCGACGCGCGCTCCTGCCCCGCGGCGGCCACGCGCAACAGGCACCAATAAACACCTGCGGAAGGGGGACCCGCGGACCAGACGGGCGACAAACGCTGAAGGACAGAGGCCCAGCCTGCCCCTCAGCCCGCCAGACTTCCATAGTCTCGGCCTCCAAACCGCGCCTGCGCAGGGGCTGCCGCCACAGTACGCCTGTGCCGGCCTGAGCTACACTCCGCGCCTGCGCAAGTCCAGCTGCAAGCGGCGTCTGCGCAGCGCTGTCTTCAACGCGTTTTCTCCTCAGGCACATTCAAGTTTCTCGCTGAGCAGCTACACGTCGTCCGCTCAGTTCGGAGGCACACACAATATCTGGGTTTTCTTTAGCTCGCTCGACCACCATCGTGACCCGATCTTCCCCCACCCACCCCCGTGTCTCCGCTGGAGAGCGCAGGAGCCGCCTCCCCGTTTCCTAACGTGTCCTGCAGCCCTGTTGTGCCGCTCTGCGCGTGCGCGGAGCCCCCTCACCCCTTCAGCCGTTTGGGGAGGCGCTGTCGTAAGGCAGTCCGTTCTGCACGTGCGCAGAGCCTCTCCTTCCTCCCTCAGCCGTCTCTACCAGAGTGTCGTGCGGCGCCCTGCGATACGCTCTACGCGTGTGCTGAGCCACCCCACGCAGAGGGCTCCTGTGGTGGAGTCTTGTGGCGCTGAGCCTTTCCGGTCTGCGCGTGCGCGAGACCCGATTTTTTTGGGGGGGGGGGTTCCTTTGTGTCTGAGTTTGCACCTGTGAGGGTCGCCACCTGCTCAGACACACAGTTCTTCGAGTTCTTCATTTTTAGTGTAACCCTTCACAAGGACGTCATGAATTACGTTTTCTTAAACACTAATGATCTGTTTTGAACGTACATAGGAACGGTCACACTTTAATGCCCTCGTGGTGGCCTCGGTACCGCTGATCATCTTGGCCTAATTTGAGTTCCAAAGGCCCGAGGCCAGCGAAGCTCCTCGCTACCTTGCGGGGTCTTTGTGGGGGAGGGCGCTACTCCGCAAGGTTCTCGGCCACCAGGAGCTCAGTTTGGACTCTGTGGGGAGCGTGGGGTCAGACCGGGGGGGGGACCTTGGAGGAATGAATCTGGGAAGTGGGTGGAGGCCACTCAGAGCTGGTTCACTGACGAGTTCAGCACCAGAAGGGACTGGAGCATTTCCAGTTTTAGATGGGGAAATCTGCGGGGGAGGGAGTCAACTAGGGGTGTCGCAGGAATCACTGCCTTTGCTCCAAACACAGAGGGCAGCCGGGCTTCCTTTGATGGCCCGCGGGAATGCGCGGTGCTTCACAGTCCAGAAAGTGGGTGGGAGAGGCTGGGTCAGAAAAGCCAGAGAGCATGGCCCAGCGTGCAATACAGAGGTGCCAGTGTCAATCCCGGGGATAAGTTAACCTGCACATAATGGACAGAGAAGGTACACACACCATGGCCAAATAGGCCCTGTGCGGTCTGGGGCTGAGGGGACAGAGTGATGCCTCCTTTACCCTTAAGGTGAGAGATGGGCTGGGTGGGGTTGCAGAGGCTTCTGTTCAGAGTTTGCCCCTGTGATGGTGCCGGGGAGCCCCCTCACACTCCACACCCCCTGAGAGGCCCAAGCTTCTCACCACTGTGTTTCTCGAGATTTGGGGGCTGTGGCTCTCGGGTGCGTGGGGATGGGAATGGGGAGATGAGTGGGAGGTAGGTTCGTAAAAGACAATGAAAACAAAAGCCAGAGAATCATGGCCACTCCTGCAGCCCAGTGTTTGAAATGAGACTGAGCAGTCGAGGCCCAGGCTGAAATGGAGGCTGAGAGAGAGCCTTCAGGGGGAGGGTGGGGGACCTGGCACCTCCAGGGTGGAGGGGAGGCGAGGGAGCCTTGGACCTGGCAGACTGTAGGGGCCAAGCAGCCGAAGCCAGGTCCTCATGGGCAAATTTGAATGTGCCCTGCCTTACAGGTGAGAGCAATGTTAGACCAAGATAGATATGTACCAGTCCCAGAATGTCTTCTGACATTTCTATTATAATTTGGTTTTAGATTATATTGCTGCTTGATCTGTCTCTTTCTCCTAAAAATGGAATACAATATAACAATTCTGGCTATTTCAGTTCTGGTTCATCAAGATTTTAGAGCACGAAGATTTTATTAGCTAATTAGAATTAATTATAATTCTGGGATACTTAACAATGCCATTAGACAATTTTCCCCGTTGCAAATGGAGAATGAAATCAAGTGCATGTGACACTAACAGGATCTGTTCATCATCAGCAACTTTAATGGAGTTAAGTAAAGTAGCCCTGGGTGGGAAGACCCAGTCCATTGAACTGCCTTTACAGCCCTTCCAGAAGCCCCTAACTTAATTCTGGGGTGATGAAAGCCTTTCAGAGATCAAGGGAATAATGACGGACATAGATGAGACAGCTCGCAGAATTCTTCAATACGATCTTTTCAAGATCCATCAGCAACAACGTCTAACCCGGATGGCTTGGTCCTGAGTTCCTTCACGATCAATACACCATTTATCCTGGTTTATCTGAATTATTTGTGCAGAAAATTTATTTGGCTTACCTGGGAAGACTTGTTTATATGCACATTTCTTTTTAGACAACCCTCTCTATTGTCATAGATTATTTTCTATCTATCTTTGAGTAATTCCTGGGAATAATGCAGAAGAGGCATTAGAAATGACCATCACCTGGATTCAGGTCCCAGTGTTTCCTCCAAAGTGCTCTGCTAAATGAGGTGAGAATAGAAACTGCTATATTTTTAGATAAAATTTCTTTGGGAAATAGCTTCTGTTTTGTCAGCAATCCTCTGGCTAATTTTTTAAACTGGTATTTCCAATGCCACTGAAGAGTTTTGGGATAAATGGATTGTAATAGAGAAAAGCTGTTCTAGAGTGCTGCATTGCTGGTGGGCCTCGGGAAATAAGGGAACGGAGAAGATGCCAACAAACGACGGGCCCCCCGGGCCAAGAGAGAGCACCTGAAAGCAAGGCAGGCGTGAGCACATCGGCGGCAGGACCACAAGGGTGCCTCCCATGAGGGGAACTGGATTATGCTAGCTGTGCCGTGTGTCTGGGACCAGTCTGTTCTGTCCATTTCTGACAACGTGAGGAGCTTGGTGCCCTGCCGGTCCCTCTGCCTCTCCCAGCTCCTATCAGATGGTTATTTTTATATTGCAAAGCTAGTAAGATATCTCTTTTGTTCCGTAACCATAGTTAAGTCTCCCTTGGCCTCAAGTGTCTGTGTGGCAGTGTATTTAGGGCCCAGGACAGCAGTCCCTCCCTGCTGGCCCAGAAGCACGAGCCTGAGCCAGTGGAAAGGAAACCTTGCCAGCACTAAGGCCAAATACTTTTTCCATCTGTGCCATTTCTTCTCTAACATCATGCCACATTTAAGTTTCTTTATATTTACACTGATAGCTTTAGTTCTTAAAATTTATAAGCGCTGTTCTTTTTGGTACAAGAGATTAAATAAGGCCGACACATCACAGTCTCCTTCTCAGCAGTCTCTCGGAGGCTGGTCCTACATGGCTCCATCTCTTCTCTCACCGTCTGGAGTCTCCAGGATTCTGGGCCATCCCTTCCCCGAGCTGTCCCCTCCCTCCCACTGCCATGCTCTCTTGGTCTGGGACCTGCTCTGTTCCACATCTGTGCTCACAGGGAGCTGAGAGGTTCCTGCAGCAGCAGCTGGAAAGCCCCGAGCAGCCTTACGGCTCACACCTCGGTGGCCTGGGCTTTCCGGAGACATCTAGGGGAATACTGATTTATGGGCACCCCTGAGGGGGCAGAAGGCTGGCCCTGGGAGCCCGTAACCGGTCCCTGCCCAGAATACCGTGTGGATGGCAAGGGTCACCTCTGCAAATGCCAAGACCGGGCTAGGCTGGCCTTCCCTGAGCACAGAGTTGGAAGACGTTGAGAGTCTCACGGTGCAGGAGTATTTGCCCAGGCTGCTTCTGGACAGACCCCCCGCCCGCCATGGAATACACGGGGCTGTGTGTGCGACATGGGGTACAACTCACAATGCCCAGGATAATCCCGGAGACATCAGGTGACGGGTGGTCATGGGAAGTCTGTGAAGCTAGAGACAGTCCCCACAGGCCACCCAGCCCCAGCCAG